CTTGATTGGAAAATTGCAATTGTTCACATGACTGCATGCTTTGAAAATATACAACTGTTTGCTAGTAATAATTGGTGCTTAATCAGTAAAAGGTTAAGTTGCCATACCTTTTTCTGTAGTGTTCTACGCTCTATTTACCTATTATACAAAATATGAAAACAATTAAAATTACATTTGTTTAATTGAGGAACAAAGTATCATTTGTGATCTGTTGTCTTTTTCTGTTTTGTTGCCTTTGCTTGTAGCTCTATTTCATGAATGTTAGTTATTCGCCACTGGTTTAACAAAAGACATTTTTGTGAACTAATATTCATTGGTATAACACAGAGATTGAGGTCAGGTGTGTTATCAGATACATATACCCAATCTCTTGACTTCAGCTGTGTGAATTTGATTACTGGAAAATCTATCTTGATTTTTAATCTCTTAGAAATCTTTCAGTACAAAAAGCAGAAAAGTTGGAGGGGGATAAATGCTAGTTAGGGAACTGATTCTGTAAACTCTCAGATTTCATACATTCTAGAAATAATAATATAGCAACTTCAAACAAGAACATCCGCCTATTCCAGGTTCTTGGGAAGAACTTGATAGATGGATAAAAATGCCGATTCCAGTCTAAACATGACTGTAACAAATCACCATAACCACAAAAACAATAACAGATAATAAGTCCTCTCAATAGCTAAGAGCAGGAACATTGAAGAAAGAAACAGAAGAGCTAATTCTGGCTGTACAAGATGAATCCTTAAGAACAATTGCATACAAAGCCAGACAGCAAGTGTCACCTCTGCAAAGAAACTAAAGAAACAGTGGATCACCAGGTTAGCTGCTGCAAGAAGATCGCACAGACTACAGTGCTCAGGAAATTCAAACAGACAAGCACCTGCCACATAACAATTGTCAGCAAGAAAAATAAAAGTCTGGACAATGGATGTGGCACTTGTGGCAGTACCTGGAGACAGCAGAATAGAAGATAAAGAATTGGAAAAAATACAAAGACCTGCAAGTTAGGAGTAGAACAACTATAGCAAAAGTAAGCAAAGATATAAGCCATGGTGATAGATACCTTATGCACAATCCCAAAGCAATTGGAGCTCCACTTGAACCTCATCGACGCTGACAAAATCACCATCAGTCAATTGTAAAATGAAGCTTTGCATCCTGTGATAATACCTTTAATATCATTAAACAACATCTGCTTATCACAGGTTCCTGGACTTGATAGACAGAAAAAAATACCAAATCCAGTCTCAAAGTCTGGCTGACTGTGCAACCAATAATACTAACCCTTACTCCATTTTTCTATGCAGATAATATTGAGCTGGATGGATAAACCTTAAATAATGCAGCTTCCTATGTCCCTTTTCCTCAGTACAGAGCTAGTGCAAAACACAATTAATGTGATAACAGAATTATGTTAGTTTATGTCTGTATGCCTAGATAAGGATAGCTAGTACCTCACAACTTTCAAACTAACCACTTAATTCACAGCAAAATCACTTTTATCGATGTATGCATTACTTTTCTAAAAATGAAAGCAATAAGTGCTTGTTTAGTCTTTCATTATAACAATTAAAACAAAGTACTGGGATTAGTTTATTACATGGGATATTTTGATGTCTCTAAAAATGCTGTTTTCCACTTTCAACAAAGAAAGTAGCAGTCTGAATTTTTGCTCAGTCTGAATATATATACAGTAGAAAAAATGGTTTCTGGATGAATTTTTTTAAAAAAAAGATAAAGCCATCATATTTTTCCACTGACCAAAAGGCTGCTCTTGAAGACCAACTGGAAATGTCAACTGGTCCAGAATGTAGCAGGATGCACAATAATGGGGCTCTAGGTGGCCTGTGTAACACTTCTGTTGCGTGAGCTGCAATGGCTTTCAGTTTCTTTCCAGGTGCAATTCAATGTGCTGATCATCATCTTTGTAGCTCTCTGTGACCCAATACCAGGCTGTCTTCAGGACCACCTTTCCCTGAGGACATCTGCCCATCCTACCCGGTCAGATAGGGAGGGGCACACTCCTAGTCCCTTCCCCCTAAATATTGCCATCTTATGGGAGGTAGGAAGGGTTTTCTGTGTTCTGCCCCTGCCCTATGGAACACTCTGCCTGCTGAAGATCAGCAGGCCTCCACCCTTTTAGCCTTCCATAAGACTTTGAAGATCTGGCTTTCCCCCCCCCCAATCGGGAGAAGATTAGATAATCAAACATTAGAACTGTTTGGTGCCAGCTTTTTGTTGTTTTAATGGTTTAATCTGTTTAGTTTTATAGCTTTAATATGATTATAGCTTTTAATGTTTGATTGGGAGCCACTCAGAGTACCGTAGGTTGAAAGATGGATGGCTATATAAATGTTTTAAATGCATGCATGCATGCATACATACATACATACATACATGCACACATGATACACTCTTCTGACAGTTAAACACTTGCACTGGTGCATCTGTGTTTCTGTGTATGAATGTGTTTTGAGTATTTCATATGAACCTAATAATTGATGCAAATTCAAATATTTTCTTTTGGAAGGCTAAATCTTGCTTCTTCTTTAGATTATTCGAAGTAAAAGGAAAGGAAGGGTTGAACCTATTTTTAAGAAGTTTGATGTGAGTGTCAGTAATGTGTGTGACAACTTACTGGTTTTCAGTTGTATAGAAACATCTTTTTTGTGAACTAATTGTTCCTTAATTATTATTATGTACCGGTATGTAACTGTTGATAATAATAATAATAATAATAATAATAATAATAATAATAATAATAATAATAATAATAATAATAGTAGTAGTAGTAGTAGTAAAGTTGTAAGGGACCTTGGAGGTCATCTAGTCCAACCCCCTGCTCAGGCAGGAAACCCTACACCATTTCGGACAAATGTCTGCCCAGTCTCTTCTTAAAAACTTCCAGTGTTGGAGCATTTACTGCTTCTGGAGGCAGGCTGTTCCACTGATTAATTGTTCTCACTGTCAGGAAGTTTCTCCTTAGTTCTAGGTTGCTTCTCTCCTTCATTAGTTTCCACCCGTTGCTTCTTGTCCTGCCTTCAGGTGCTTTGGAAAATAGCTTGATTTCCTCTTCTTTATGGCAGCCCCTGAGATATTGGAATACTGCTATCATGTCCCCCCCTTGTCCTTCTCTTCGTTAAACTAGACATACCCAATTCTAGCAACCGTTCCTTATATGTTTTAGCCTCCAGTCCCCTAATCAACTTTGTTGCTCTTCTCTGTACTCTTTCTAGAGTCTCAACATCTTTTTTACATCGTGGTGACCAAAACTGGATGCAGTATTCCAAGTGTGGCCTTACCAAGGCATTGAAGAGTGGTATTAATACTTCACGTGATCTTGATTCTATCCCTCTGTTAATGCAGCCTAGCACTGTGTTGGCCTTTTTTGCAGCTGCAGCACACTGCTGGCTCATATTTAGGTGATTGTCTACTAGGACTCCGAGGTCCCTCTCACAGTTACTACTATTGAGCATGGTGCCACCTATGCTGTACTTGTGCATTTGGTTTTTCTTGCCTAAATGTAGAACCTTGCTTTTTTCACCATTGAATTTCATTTTGTTAGTTAGTGCCCAGTGTTCAAGTCTGTCCAGATCCTTCTGTATCTTAAGCTTAATTTCTAGAATGCCAGTAACACTTTTTTGAACACTTTTTTTGAAGCTGCTATCATCTCGTTGATTTCCTGATTCACATACACATGAATGTGTTGATTCATATAAATGTTGACTCAGCAGGACAGCCCAACTACCACTTGGGCAATATGATTATGGTGGTGGCTGCTCCTGTTTTATTTTTTTATCCTTTTCCATGTGCTGAAGATTTTATTATAAGCATGTATTTAAGAAAAATTTGTGAAGTCACAGGTTCACAAGAAAAAAAATTGAAGAAAGATTAATATCAATGTATAAAATGAAGATATTTTAATTTGCTGCAGAAAAAAAATAAGACTTGCTGTCTTAGTTGAACGTTACACTTGGTTTGTTGACATTTGGTCAGAAGATGGAATGACTGTGCTAGGTACCTCTTGATAAATGGAAAATAAGCATATCAAATCAGTAATCATACCAAAAGTAACAATTAGAGACCTGAATAAAAACCTCTGTTATTATAATGAAAGGGAAAAAAACCTATAATAAATTGACTGGATTGGTGGACTACTTTATGTAATTCCAAAGAATATATTAGGAACATAACAATGGGACTTCTCTTTTTTTGTCCTGCTTGTGAGTTCTTAGCTTCATCTTTCTTTAAATACAGAATAAAATAGAATAAATAAATAGATTAAATGGTTTGTAGTCAGATCAAGTAAGATAGTGCCGAGGTCCTTAGCTCTTTGTCAAAATATAGAAATGTAGAAAATTATATTGAATGCCACTACACTACTGAACAAACAGCCTAATTTGTATGAATAGCCCATTAATTTGAAAAATGTCCAGATGGAAATTTGTGTTTGAATTCCACTAAATGAGGGTTTAATAAATTAAGTTTTAACTTGCACTTAAATACAGTAGCATGCTTTTCAGATTTTCACTGTTGCTGGAATCCCCCCCCTCCCCCGGGTCGAGAGAAGTTTTAAAGGCAAGATTAGTAGCACAGACAATAAAGCTATATTAAATGTTGGATTCTTTCTTGGTGATATTTATTTGCCTATACATAAATAAACATGAAATATTCTTTTTTACCATAGTTATTAAGAAATATTTTAAACTGTGTTTGTATAATGAGATATGTTATAGCAGTGGTTCTCAACCTGTGGGTCGGGACCCCATTTGGGGTCGAACGACCATTTCACGGGGGTTGCCAAACAAGGCTGTCCGCCATTTTTTTCCCCATTTCTTTGGCCATGCCCCTGGCACCCGGTGATGTATAAGTGGTTGGGGGTCACCACAACATGGGGAACTGTATTATGGGGTCGTGGCATTAGAAAGGTTGAAAACCACTGTGTTATAGCTTCTGTGCTTTTATTAATATGCCTTTTCTTCCTCTTCTTTTTCCAGAATGGAAGAAACAGTGAGGAACCTACTACAAAGTCAAGGATTATCTGAACCCAATGGAGAAGAATCTGTGCCCATATTAAAATCTTATCAGGTAATAATGATTTTCATAACTCTATTTGCAATCTTAATAACTGGTAGAGTCATTAGAAGATGAAATTTGAGTAAGCACAGTTGATTTAAAAGTTGCTACAGTTATCTCTTCTGAATAAGAGATATACTGTCACATAACTAGTTGAAGCAGAAAATACTTCTCAGGAAAAGAAGAATTGGGAAATGGTCTGTGTACTGGCTACGGAACCAAAAACTCGTAAGGCGGAAGTGCAGTAAAAATAATGGATGAAGAATGTGATTAAAAATGACATTTAAGCTTTTGAAAAATGCTTGGAGCTATCACAGATTTCCCATGCATTGAGTATGCATGGCAATGAGGATTCTCTGAAACATCTGGAAAAGTGAGGATGAGAGTTGGGAAGACAGGCAGGTAAAATACTACAGGCAGGTGGGCGGATCCTAATTTAATGCTAGGCAAATATAGATGGTGACTGAGATGATCCTTTTGTTCCCCACTGCAGAGTTATTTTTTATGTTTTGCACATGTGTACTGAACATATAAGTAAATTGTGTAAGCATATAGGTTACATAAGATATGTTCACATGTGGGTAAGATGTACAAGTGCATCCCCATTTCCTTTGTGTGTGTCCATGTATGTGCATATTATGAAAATATAGCCATGTCTACATTTGCACATATATGTGAACACTGAAGATGCTTTGTGCATTTAGGCAAGCTAGCCTACTGTTTGCCTTCACATGAATACAAGTAGCATAAGTCTGTAGATGGACATGAAGTGCCTGCATGCAAGCACTTGTGTAGATGCATATTTGTGCAGACGATTCCAGAAAATGCTTTATGATATCATCAGAATAATAATATTGACTAATTGATGAGGTCAATGTATTAAAACCCTCTTCAATTAAACAATAAAGTCTTAGTAAGTGGGCACAGATTGTAATGTGCATAGCCATTAAAATTACATTATGTGTGTATGAATTTCATTTCTTTTCTTATTTAAAAAAAATCTTCTATGACATCATTTGCGACCTGTTATATTAAAAAAGATGTAGGGCTGTATTTCTTATATATACACATAAATATAGACACATTTAATTTACTGCAAACATATATATATATATATATATATATATATATATATATATATATGTAGGTCTTTGGTTGTTCGGGTTTTCTCCCGCATAAAATTGGAAGTGTCTTGGCGACGTTTCGACGAAGTACCATTCGTTATCCTCAGGCTGGTGTTTTCAGCTTCGTGCTTCGAGCAGCTCAAAGCACGAAGCTGAAAACACCAGCCTGAAGATGACGAATGGGACTTCGTCGAAACGTCGCCAAGACACTTCCAATTTTACGCGGGAGAAAACCCGAACAACCAAAGACCTACATACAAATACCCGCGAAAACCTCAGAAAACTATATATATATATATATATATATATATATATATATATATATATATATATATATATATATAAAAATATGTATTTTTTAAATATGTATTTTTATCATCAGACCCATAGTATTAATCAATTGGTATAACTTAGGCTATAGAACTGCTTTTTAAAAAATAGTAATACTTTTATTTTTCATCATTAGGAGAGAATGTGTGAATTGTGTAATTAACTTTGAAGCTGTATTTGCCACTAGTTTAAGAGTATTATAGTCAAAAGAAAAAATTAAATTTGATAAAAAATAATTCAGAAAGAAATGAGAAAATAATATTGAGAATAATTATTTTGATTATGGGGATTATGAAATATGAAACAATTCCACATTTCCGGGGACTACGGTAAATTGTTTTCACTGTGTGCAACATGTTCAAAGTAATATTTCAATAATCATAAAAGCATCTTTGCAGTAAATACTTTTTGATCTATTGACCACTGACTGCGTATTTATCTTTTCTTTCTTAAACCTAATTATTGTTTAGGGATGTATAAGACGGCTCTGATCACAATATCAATATTCCTGTCTCTCGAATAAATACTGATGCTAATGAACTTTAAATATTGCCCAGTTCACATGTCAATGGAACAGTAATCAGAGGAATAGCAGAACATACATGCATTATTGTTAAATTGTTAAGATCTTTTTTTCCAGACAGAGATAATTTATTTTATTTCTTTTATATAAATTATTTTAACATCTTATTGACACAAAGACACTGATAGTTGCACTGATTTTAGAATAGAATAGAATAGAACAGAACAGAACAGGAACAGAACAGAATAGAATAAAGCTGGAAGGGACCTTGGAGGTCTTCTAGTTCAGCCCCCTGCTTGAGCAGGAGAACCTATACCATTTCAGACAAGTGACTCTCTAGAATCTTCTTAAAAATCTTCAGTAATGGGGTGCCACGATTTCTGAAGGCAAGTTGTTCCACTGGTTAATTGTCTTCACTCTTAGGAAGTTTCTCCTTAATTCCAGGTTGCTTCTCTCTGTGATCAGTTTCCAGCCATTCTTTCTTGTCCTGCCCTCTGGTGCTTTGGAGAATAGTTTGATGCTCTCTTCTTTGTGGCAGCCCCTAAAATACTGGAATACTGTGATCATGTTGTCTCTGTTTCTTCTTTTCTTCAGACTAACCAAACCCAAGTCCTGCAGCCATTCTTCATATATTGTAGTTTCCAGGCCTTTGGTCATTTTAGTTGCTCTTCTCTGAACTTTTTTCATGGTCTCAACATCTTTTTTGTAGTATGGTGACCAAAATTGGGTGCAGTATTCCAGGTGTGGTCTTACTAGGGTTTTATAAAGCGGTACTAATAGTTTGCGTGATCTTGATTCTATGCCTCTATTTATACAACCAGGATTGTATTAGCTTTTTTGGCTGCTGCTGCTGCACACTGCTGGCTCATAGTCAAATGATCGTCCACTAGGACTCCAAGGTCCCTCTCACAGTTGTTGTTTTTGAGCCAGGTCTTGCCTAATCTGTACTTAAACCTTTGGTTTTTCCTGCCTAAATGTAAAACTTTGCTTTTCTCCATATTAAAACTCATTTTGTTGGATAGGGCCCATTGTTCAAGTTTGTCAAGATCTTTTTGGATCCTGAGCTTATCTTCTGGGGTGAAGAGTATTGGGCCTAAGACGGAGCCTTGTGGTACCCCACTGCTTTACTTCTTACTTACATTTTGTTTAATGACATATTCAAAAATAAAATAGCAAAAATGAATTTGGACATGAAGTGTTCAAAAGCAGCGTCATCCATTTCACCTTAGGAAGCATGCCTTCACTGTCATAGCCTGCCTTATGAAACATGACATATAAAGACAACAACTTTTCTTCTGGTCTTTCAGAAGGCTATGAAGATAAGCCCCTTTCCCTGGATGTTGAGACCAGGATGTTAATTAACTTGAATGTTGGTTGTGTGAATGTGTTAATTTGGATTTTTTTTTTTGGCTTTTTTTAATGGATGTTTATATGTTGTTTGCTGCACAACTTTTTTTTTTTGATAGCTGGATAGCCATAGACATTTGATAGATAGATAGATAGATAGATAGATAGATAGATAGATAGATAGATAGATAGATAGATAGATAGATAGATAGATAGATAAGCAAGCAAGCAAGCAAGCAAGCAAGCAAGCAAATAAATGTTCTGGAACAATTAACATGTACATTAAAACCCAATAAAAAAAAATAATTCTGAAACAATAAAATCAGCAGCTGGAATAAAATGTTTCTAAACAGCAACATTTTATCATATTGCCATATTGAAAAATAATAACATCTTTTCTTGGCATAGCTTATATAGAAGGAATGGAATAAATGGAAGGAATTGGGAGTTAAAACAGAAAAAAACAAACAGAGAAATTTCTTTCTGTCTGTGTTATTCAACTTTTCTCTAACCCCTACTCTCCGATATTCCCCTCAGGTGTGGCTATGGGTCTAGTAGAAATAGCAACTTTTGTCATAGAGAACATTTGCAACCTATGAATTCCCAGTGTTGGAAGATTTTCCTGGCAAAAATAATTTCTTATTGTTCTGGTTCATATTTCCCCTATTTAATTGATCCCACCGCACTCTTAGTATCCTCTTCATAACATATCTCCACCTGAAATATAAAGATAATAGTAGAAAATGGAGCACAATGAAAATATATTCATTAAAAGTTTTTGAAGTTCCATTATGAATCGTAAAGTGCCTTTTTGGGAAAAGGTTTGATGTAATATGCACAGGTTTTTTTATTAAAATTGAATACACTTCAAGTTAAAATGGAAGAGATGTAAATCAACTTGCTGTTAGATTTGAATTCAGCAATTCAGTTGCCAAAATACATGGAAGCAAAAATAATTAATTTGCATACTTTTGCTTCATAATTATAACTGTCAAACCCAATAACTTTGAATGTAGATTGGAAGGTAAAATATTTATATTTGCAAATTAATATACAAGAAAAATATAAATAGAGTTAAGGGGAGACCGGAAACATTTGGTTCATGTAATATTTCATTGTTGAAGAAATATTGAGAAGCAGAAACTAGATGGAAGTGCCTAAAAGTACTTTTAAAGTTGGCATCTGAAATTGGTAAATCTCGATAAATCTAAATTGAATTTGATCTTAAACATCAGATGTTGCAGTAGTGCTGAATTATACAATAGACTCTTAAAGATAGGCTAGGCTTGATGCTCTCCATATATCTAAATTCCCAGTCAGCACAATAAGAATTGATTTATCTTTCAAAACCTAACAACTACATCAAAGATAATTGAGTGGCAGCTGATCAAAATACAAGGGCAATTCGGATATAAACCTTAATTTGAGCATGTGCGAGAAATAGGTGGGGATAGCGACGCTCTTCCTATGGCACCGTGTGCAGTAGTTCAGTAGGCAGGGAAGAGTGAAAGGAGAAAGTCGTATTGCAGTTGATGCATCTGCTAGATCAATGGAAAATGAACCCTGCCATAGAAAAAACTGCCAAATGTGAAGGGCATGCAGTAATATGATTCCTGTGTGCAAAAAAAAAAAAAACCTTTCGGCAGCTGCAATTCATCGTGAACTGTGTAATGTTTATGGACCAAACA